GGGTTAAAAAAAAAAACAACCGCTGGGTCAAAACAACCCAATAGCTGGGTTTGTCCCTTTTTAACCCAGCACTGGGTTATATTTAACCCAGCATTTTTGCTGGGTTAAATTTACATCATGAGTGTAGTGTCAGGAAAATATATATATATTTTTTGTTCTTTTTGGACAGATGCAGACTTGATTCTTATCTTTTAACAATTTTTATTTAACTTTATTATTTTTTATTTATTTATGGTTTAAATTAAATCATGTCTATAATCATTTTTTTAATTAATTATGAAATAGCTTAAGTCTTATAGCTGCAGCAACAACATGAATTGTTGGCTGCAAATATTAAAAATGAGGTCTTTACATTCTAAATTGTAATAAGTCTACATTACCAAAAAATGTGAACATTGCCGTTTTTAAATTTCTTTCCATTTGGATTTGATGGGGTGATTTCACTGGCTGTTAAGCCATCTACAGCATATCCTGTTATGTGGTATGCACAGCCACATTCCCAAGTTAATGGTGAATTTCACCATGACGCGAGGCATCAAAATGGGAATACTCCCTGCCAGCTGGTCAAGGGGCCAAGGGGAAAATTATTTATTTGACAAAGAGTCAAAGATCAAAGGCAATGACTAACCAGGAAGCACCAATCTCCTAATGCAGCCAATCACAGAAGGAGCCTCCACCAATCAGCCCTAGCAGCAGGACCTCTTCTCTAAGTTTTAATTGGTTGCTCTGTACCGACCGGCCTTCACAGACGTCAAGCTGGAGGACATTACGTGTGGCGGAAGGGTCAGCTATCGCACTGCTTAGCTGTTCTCACTGCAAAGACACTCTGTGGTAGAGATTAATGTGAAAACAGTCATAACTTCATAATGAGGCTGTCTCATCAAGTAATCTATTTCCTGTGATTGTGCGAGATTTCCAGTTTATTAACCATTATAGGTAAATGACTAGAAGTATAACATGCAGTAAAAGTTCGAACAATTTTTGCTGCAAACCAGTGTGTTTATGATTACAATAATAAATTAAATTAATATGATAACAAATAAAATAACAACAGTAACACTTTATTTTAAGGTCCAATTCTCACAATTAACTAGTTGCATATTAGCATGCATATTACTAGCATATTGGCTGTTTATTAGTACTTATTAGGCACACATTAATGCCTTATTCTGCATGACCATGTTCTAGATCCTTTAACTCAACCCCATACCTAAACATAACAACTACCTTACTAACTATTAATAAGCAGCAAATTAGGAGTTTATTGAGGGAAAACACTTCCAAATCTAAAGTCTAACCAATTGTTTCGTGACAGCTAAAGAAACTGGAAGCAGCTGAAATGAGAAGACTGCTCTTGCTTTAAAAATAAGGTGGATAACGTTAGGACACCTTTTTGCTGTATATTTTAACCTCTAAAAAGCATAAACTCACTTCCACAAAACAAAACAAAACAAAAAACATAAAAATAAATTATATCACCAATCATAATGCCGAAAAGTAATATGAGATAATCTTCCCAGATAGAACCATTCCGAAATAAACAAAACCAAAATTATAT